TGTATTAGAAAATATAAAATTACACATCTTATCAAATATACTAGAAAATAATGGAATAAATGCCTATTGGCTCTGATTGTTTATGTAGGCTTTTATGGGTGAATCTTAAAATTATTCCAGCAAACATGTGAGTATTTATACATAAAGACATAGATGCTCAAGAAAATAACTCACCTGCTGTCATTTAGTTTTATGAAACTGTTACTGTAAAGTACAATATAGAGCATTCTTGCTTCTACAATGTTGTTTTGAAGCAAAATAACATTTAAGAACCTATGATAATATTTTTCTAGAAGAATTTTAAAAGTTCAACTTGAGTGATGAGTTATATAGTATCTTTCATTTTTTTTCATGACATGCATGGTAGATCAGAGCATGTTATATGTACCTTATTTTTAACACATAGATAATGAAACTGACTAACAGATTTGTTCTGTTGAAATGGAAGCTGATAATTCAGGAGAGTGAACATTTCAGAAAGTAAGTTGTGAAATCAGAGCGCTGGACAGACCCTTTTTATCTTCAACAGGCATGGTCGTTTGGCCCACAGCTTCCATGGTGGCTCATCTCCTGAATCAGGTGGGAGGAGTGCTGTGAACAGACTGAAGAAGGTTCCTCACGGCTGGCCTCAAACACACCTCAGACTCTTCCTGCACACGTCTTCCTCTACTAGCATGTCCATGTGAGTGGAATTCTCTTGCTTCCTGCCACAATACATCACAGGTAAGCAGTGCTAGTACTGATACATAATAAAATAGGAAATTCCTAAGACACACAATTTTAATCTACACCCCCAAAGGGTGATGGTTATAAGTACATTATGTTTAGCATGCTGCACTGTCTATTATTCTGATTAAATTGTCAGAGATTAATGCTTCCAGTGAAACAGTGAAAAACAGTAATAATAAATAAGTTTTTAGATTTTCTCCAATGTCCTACAGTGCTCTGGACACTTTACATATAATAAAAATAACCTTAAGATGTAGATGTTGCAGGCATCCCCACACTAAGATGATGAAATGGAGGCAGAGGGACGTTTATTAAGCTGCCCAGTGTCTCTGAGACAGTAGGGAAATAAGCTGGGATTGCAACACCAGCACTGCAGCCTAGCAGCCACATTGCTAATGACTGTGCCTCCCTCTCTCCAAGGATTCTTGGGTCCTGCTTAGGTAGACCCTGGATGGAAAACTTAACATCATTATTTGGTCCTTGTCGACATTCCATCTCATTTACTACAGCCTGGTATTTTTGAAGTAATTGTAATGAGCATGCAAATTGCTATTTGCTGATAAAGTATGAAAAATAGAAAACATCTACAGAGTAAGAAGCGGTAGGCCTGTCTACTAGTGTTGTGAATAGTTTGAGTGGAAAGAATTCTGACCTCTTTGAATTCAATTCCTTTATTTTTCAATGTGCTGAGAAGTATCTGTGGTCATGTTTAGAAAATCACTCAAACCCATTCCTTTTCATGTTGAGTGAGGATGGGCTTCTCCCTCCAGTAGACTGCTTTCTGGAATCTGCACATTCAATTCTATTTTTAAGCATCCTCAGTACATAGGAAAGCTTATATACAAAATTATGTCACATTATTCTCTACCCCTCTTTTCAATTTCTAGTTTTCTCCTTTCTTAGTATCTAGCTTACTCTAAGAGTCCTGAAAATCATATAGAGTACTAGCTGTTAATACATTGCTTCTTCCTAGGCATGAATTAGCTCAGGTCAGTTAAAAATAATTGTTGAAAATCAGGATTAAAAAATGAATTTGCTAAGAACTTGGTATAGGCAAAAATAAAGTGGTCAGGATTCATATTATAATACAGTAATTACTACAGGAATCAATGTGCTATATCATTGTACAGTTATTTGATACATTTCCAAATTCATTTTCTTAAGACTTATTAAAAAAGACTCAACACACTTTGATGCATGAAAAACTGACCATCTATTGTGGTAGTCTGTGATAGTATTCAGCTGAATAACCCAGAAAAGGAGGTGTGTTTAATGTAGTACAGATGATATGGTAGTGTTATTCCACACAAAGACTGTGAACTAAAGTCACTGAGTCTATGTTAGCTCACATATCTATCGTTTATTGTCACCACTAAAAGAACATTGCTTGGCATCAGGAACATTTTCCCTGTTCATCACTGCTGACTTCTATGTCAAGACATGACATATTTAAAGGAGGTTTTATTAAGTATTTGAATGGTAATTGGGTTTTTTACTACTCTTCTCTATAGACTATCATCTATGACAGAGATAGAACCAATAATATCGTTTCTTCCCTCCCAAAAATCATCTGAGGAGAAATAGAATCACCAAGAGAAGTTTATTCGGCTTCTTGAACTAGAAAAATGAAAACTATTGACTAAATGTTTCTGAGTGTTCACTATTGTAGAACACATAATGATGAAGATGCAGTCTGTGACAGACTGTGCCATTGTCCTGTTCACAGTTTCCTGGCAGGTCCTGTTGTCCTGAGCTCTCATCTCTGAAGCAAGCCTTCTACACGACTTAATGCAACACAGTAACAATATCACAGAATTTGTTCTCCTGGGCCTCACTCAGGATCCCAATGCACAAATAGCACTATTTGTCATGTTTTTAATTACCTATGCTGTGAAAATTCTGGGGAACCTGCTCATCATGTTGACTGTCCTGGCCAGCCCCTCCTTAGGCTCCCCAATGTACTTCTTCCTTGCCTATCTGTCACTCATGGATGCAGTTTATTCCACTGCCATTTCACCCAAGTTGCTGATGGACCTACTCAGCGATAGGAAGACCATTTCCTTCTGGGCCTGCATGAGCCAGCTCTTTATAGAGCACCTATTTGCTGGCGCTGAGGTCTTCCTTCTGGTGGCAATGGCCTATGACTGCTATGTGGCCATCTCTAAGCCTCTGCACTATTTGACCATCATGAACCAACTGCTTTGCATCCTTTTCTTGGTAGGGTCCTGGGCTGGAGGCTTTACACACTCATTGATTCAACTTGTGTTGGTTTATAATCTCCCCTTCTGTGGCCCCAGTGTCATGAATCATTTCATCTGTGACATGTACCCATTACTGGAGCTTGTGTGCACTGACACCTATCTCATTGGCCTCAGTGTGGTGGCCAATGGTGGAGCCATCTGTATGGTAGTCTTCATCCTCCTCTTTATGTCCTATGGCTTCATCCTAAACTCCCTTAAAACTCACAGTCAGGAAGGGAGGTGCAAGGCCCTTTCTCCCTGCAGCTCACATATCACTGTGGTTGTCCTCTTTTTTGTTCCCTGTATTTTTATTTATGTTAGACCTGTTTCTACCTTTCCCATTGACAAATCAATAAGTGTGGTTTGTACAGTTTTTACTCCCATGCTGAATTCTTTAATATACACCCTGAGAATTTCAGAAATGAAAAATGCTATGAAAAAACTCTGGTGTAGGAAGTGAAATAATGATTGAATATAAATATGTGACTGGCACTCAGGTTATTTGCTAGGAATTCCACAACCACACCACAAAGTCAAAAAAGCGATGCTGTTGGCAACACGATGGAGTCTCTATGCCTGCTTCTATTTGTTATGTAAAGCCATCAAAGAGTACAATAAATTCTCTTTTGTGATTAAGATCAATCTTATAGATAATAAGAGAGGATAAATAAAAGATATTTGTCCTGTTGAAGGAAAAAATAAGTCACTCTGAAACTTTATGTTTTCAACTTTTATTGAAATGAGATTTAAAGTTTTAAATAATGCAAATAAACTACTCTTTATGACAACAATCATTATTTATTATATTATGTCATAGATCCTGTTGTCATTTAAGGAGTGACTTTTTTCAATTTTTGTTTTTCATTAGTACATGTTTACAGTATATAATAGCCACATTTCTCATAATAGCTAAATCTTGGAAGCATCCTATATGTCTAATAATAGATAAATAGATGAAAACATATATTGTATTTGAACACAGTGGAGTACTACTCTGCCATAAAGAAAGATAAACTAGAGTCATTCATAGAAAAATGGATATATCATAAGACCATAATGTTAAATGAAAAGTAAGAAACAAAGGCTTGAAGATTGCATGGTTTCTCTTATGATGGACACACAAAACATAAGTGAATAAATAAATAGAAAAATAAAATATAGATGAAAGGAGCTAGGGAGACAGATCTTTTGCAAATGGGAATGGGAATGGGACTTAGAGATGTAGGGGAGGGAAGGAAAGGAGAGGAAAGGGATAAAAAAAGAATTGAAATATGTTGAGGCTACTTCTGAAAGCTTAATATCATCCAAATTAATGAGAAAATATCTGACTAATAGTTGAATTTTTCTAGGCAAAAGAATGAGTTTTTATTTTTATGTTAATTATTCTGTTATCACAGCAACACAGTAGCTGCCTTCCAGAGTTTGGTTACTGCGGATGCACTGTGCTTTGGAAAACACTCCATTCCAATTTATGAGCATGTTTGTGTGATTCTTCTCACTGTTTATCATGTGCATTTTTCATATTCTTATTTTGTCTTCATGAAAGAAAAAATGAGTAAGGAAAAAATATATATATAACAGTTTCCTAAATCTGCTGCAATCTAAAACATCAAAAACTGGGAAGAAGATAGAATTGCTTTCATTACACTATGAAACATCAATTATACTTTATAAGAGTTTCCTTTTATAACTGAAATTCTTCATGGTGAGTAGGACATTTATATATCCTCTTTTACAGGTGATTGTATGGTTTTACTGAGGTTATCCTATGAATTACAATCTGAATACCAATGTAGTGTAGTTCAGTTGCTCTACATCCACTGATGAAATGCCTGACACTGTGAGATGCTTAATATTTTTGTGAATGTAATGGGTGCATGAATGTCCAATCACTGTGATTTTAATTTGCATTGTATTTCCTCTGAAGTTGAGGATGTTTTCATGTGTTTACTGGAAATTAGTTTTTCTAATCTTTTATGAAATTTGTATTTTTTTCTTCTTTTTTTTTTTTAGCTTCAAAACAAGTGTTATTGGTAGACTTTTTTGTTGGTGTTGTTCTTTTAATGGCACATTTTAGGTATACAATTCATTTACATTTATCATTGGGTGTTTGTACCTGTACATGATATATCTTGATCCTTATTTTTTTTCCCCATTACCTGTGCACACTTCACCCCCTCTGCCCATCCCTATTTACATAGATTTCATTTCCATTTTTTTCTTTTCTCATAGTTTTTCCTTTCCCTCTTTGCCTTTCCCCTTCCCCTCCCTTCACTCCTTCATCTTTGGACCTTTGTTCCTATTTCAAATTATCAATTATTCATTTTAATTATTTTAACCCTTGTTTACACTATCAGTTCCTCACACTAGGGCAACTATTTGGTATTTACACATGTGTGTCCTATTCATTTCACTTAAGAGTATGGCCTTGATATGCATCCATTTAGCTATAAATGACTCTAGTTTCTCATTCTTTATGGCTGAGTAGTACTCCATTTTATAAAAATACCACATTTTCTTTATCCAGTTTCCAGTTGATGGGCACTTGAGCTGCTTCCAAGCTTTAGCTATTACAAACTGTGTTGCTACGAACATGTGTGCTGATGAGCTCAGAAACATGCTGAAAGCCATGAATACCCAGCCTAAGAAAGAAAGGAAAACCATGATCACCCAACATAAGAAAGAAATGGAATCCATGAAACAGATTCAAACAGATATTCAGGAATTCAAAAACTCCATTGAAAGTATCTACAGCAGATTAAGGGAATCTGAACATAGAATATCAGATATAGAAGACAGGATCATGGTTAGAGATCATGAAAATGGAGATTTCTTAAAAATAGTAAAGGACCACAAGAAATCAATCCAACAACTGCTAGGTGATGCAAAGAAGAATAACATAAGACTGATAGGAGTCCATGAAAAAACAGGAGAAAGCACAATTGACAAAAAAAAAAACTGTTCACAGAAGTAATAGTGGAAAACTTCCCAGACAGAGGTAGAGAATTAGTGAGACATATAGAACTCCAACTAGCCATGATCAAAAAAAAAAAAAATCTCCATCTAGACATATAATAGTCAAGATCCCAGAAACCCAACAGAAAAACAAAATCCTACAAGCAGTTAGAGATATGAAATTTGTATTTATGTTTTTGCTGTTTATTTGGTTTCC